TTGTGACCAGCGGGGCTCTGGCCAAGTTGCAAGAGATCAAGGCTGATCCTGACTCTCTTCTTCAGGAGTACATCAACATAATCAACTGCTGCTTCCCCGAGGAGATAGTCCTGTATTATTCGCCTGGCTACTCAGAGTCCCTGTTGGAGAAACTGGGAGAATATGAGCCTGAAATTGCTGCTGAATGAGAGTATAATATTAAGAAGTGCAAAAACCTGGATATTAGATTTATTATTTTATCTTTCTAATGTAGGTCTACGCCATTGAGAAGACTAGTATGTATATTTTGCAGAGATAACGTAAGTTAAAGCGTTGACTATAAGACAATGACTATAATAGGTTGTTTTACAAATTGATTCCTATGGATAGTATGTGCAACTAGAATGCATATAAGTCTGCATGAGACCTGAGTTAAACTCAATGTCAAGTTCCATCTGTCAATAAATAAAAAATGTTACAAAAAATTCTACAATTTATAATTTTAAATTAACGTTATATTATACGTTTGTTCAGAATTTAATATTTTTTTCATATATGGAATGCATATGCAATTTTCATATTTTCAGTTTGTGTGAAATCTCATTGGTATAGGCATTGTTCAGTTTGTGTGAAATCTCATTGGTATTGGCAGTGTTTAGTCATCCACCTAGGCAGGTGGCGCTGCATAGAATCTAGGCCCCCTAAACGTGCGGTTGTTAAAACTGCAGTTATCCTATGGACGTCCGTGAGCAATGTTTTTGCCTCTTATTAGCCCCACTGTTTCTTGAAACACATCAGTGGTCGGGAATTTGGGTCAGTTAAAAGCGATGCGTTCATGTTATCCGCCGAAAACGTTCACATTTGTCAAAAAAAGAACATTTTGTGAAGCCGCTTCTAAGAAATGTTAACAGACTAACTCCCGTCAGCTCCAATGTTGATCCTGCAGCCCTTAGTTCCTCCGGGCACCGCCCACCGCCACAACCCTCACTACGCTACCTCAACTGCCTCCCTGTGATACTATTGAAGTGACAGTCGACAGCTAGCTGCGGGCTGCTTGACGAGGTAGGAAGCGTTAAATCGTATTTTTGTGTTTACGTTTACAAACTAAAAACATACACATTGTATTTTGTCTAATATTTGGCCACTTAGGTGGGTTACTTATTTCTGCGTTGTACTTTTCTTACTGACAACACTGTTGGCTGTAACGGCGAAGCAGTAATTTGGTAAAGTGAACACCTAAATCACATTTAACAGCTAAATATAGTAGCTACGTGAAGTGAACGTGTCTTTACTGTAAAACGGTGTCTGTAACGTGAGTTAATATTACTATCGTAGTTATTAATATTCCGATACACAGCAGCACTGAAGTCAGCTTCCAGCTGGGTGGCTAGGAGGAATGTTGAGGAAAGAAAAACCCTCAGTCTCTGAGTCGTGTGATTGCGTGAACACCATCAATGTGACTTATTTTCATTTATATTTATAAAGCATTTTAATCAGACAAATACAGTTTACCAAAAAAAATGTTAAGTTAAATAGCAAATTATAATTGTAAAAAACAAGATATATATACTTTTTATAGCCAGGTTAAATAAATAAAACACGTACACGCATTGTACTGGTTTAAAATTGAAATTGAAGTGTTAGTGCTGAAATTATTTAAAGTAGTGCATTACTATTGGCTATTCAAAATGTCGTGCCCACTTCAATATAAACAGTAACATTTAATGTGAACAGGAGTTCACATTGATAAAGGTGATAGAAATCTTTATTTTACTTTTTTTTTTCAAAACAGAAGGTGAAATAAGGTCACTTTTTTTTTCTTACCTACTTTTTCTGTCTTACATCCCATGGCAGTTGGCAGGGCATGACCTCCAGGTGGTGGTAGTGATAACACTACCTCTGTTCCCTCTATATTCAATTTCCCCAAAGTAACTACAAAGACAAGTTGTTGTTTTTGTCAAATCAAAGGCATGTCAAAGGCAGGTCTTTTTAAGGGGTAAATTTGACCAGCAGAACCCTGGAAAATATCCTAATACAAGTGTTGATAAAATGACTAATGTAATAAATGATCCCGCATGTCACAAAACATAGTTAAAAAAAATGAAATTTACAAGTAAATAAACATTGCTTACCTTAGTGGTGTAAAGTGTTTGCCGAAAAACGAATGATGTATTTCTCTCAGCTTGTTGGTTGGTGAGTGTTACCCAGGCTGCCATGGCCACCGTAGGAAACCCAGGCGCTAAGGCCACAGACTGTGTGACCAAGGTGGCGCTGAGCATCTCTTGCAACAACCTGCTTGACATGGACACTTTCTCAAAGTCCGACCCCATCTGTGTGGTTTCATTGAACAGCTCAGGGCCCTACTGGTCTGAGGTAAGTGTTGTTCGTCCACACATGTAAAAACTGCGATTGTCAATTGTCAAAGGCCAGAGCACTCACTCTCATAATTTCTATTGCATCTGACTCTGTTGCATTTGTGTGCATTAGCTTGGGCGCACAGAGATAATAAAGAACAGCCTCAACCCCAGCTTCTCCAAGACCTTCATTATCGACTATTACTTTGAGATGGTGCAGAAGCTGAAGTTCGATGTGTACGACATCGACAGTGACGACTGCAGCCTGCAAGATGCAGACTTCCTGGGACAACTGGAGTGTACTTTGGGACAAGTAAGAGTGAATTTACAAAATATACAACGATTGAGTCCTTAGGTTTATTCCTATTTTTTATTAAGTAGAAGTTGGGTTGGGTCACAGTTATTTACTGCAGTAGAAATAAAACAAATAACTACATCTGTGCAGATCGTGTCCTCCCAAAAGCTGACGAGACCACTTGTTATGAGGGACAAGACCCCAGCGGGAAAAGGAACTATCACCGTGAGATGGATTTCTTCATAAATCAAATTTAGTTAATGTATGTACACTTTTATTTTTACACAATGCTGTGACTTTCTGTCCAGATATGTGCCGAGGAAAGAACCGATAACAGAGCTGTGGAATTTGAAATTGCGGCCAGAAAACTTGACAAAAAGGTATTTATGAGGTTTTTGTCATCTGTATTGATATAGATAAACACAAATCATATAATACCTGGAAGTTTGCTAAAAGTAAAAAAAAAAAATCCCAAAATATCAACAGTCTACGACAAACAAAAGAAGGGACGCTGTAATATCGATATTATTTTCGATACGTTTTTACATTACTTTATATTCATTTCCAGGATTTTTTTGGGAAGTCTGACCCATTCCTGGAATTCTACAAACAAACAGGGTCAGGATGGCAGCTGGCCCACAGAACAGAGGTAAACACGTGCCGCGTCGTTTTACATCCTTACATTTAACAATATAAGTAGTAATTGGACTAGGTTCGTTTGAGTCTCTTGTTAACGTGTGGCATTGAACAGGTGGTGAAGAACAACTTGAATCCATCGTGGAAGAAATTCCGCGTCTCGATGCAGGCACTCTGTGGCGGCGATGTGGAAAAAACAATTAAGGTAAACACGGACGCGCATGTCTGTAAATATGTGTCAATTATAAATGCAATCATGTGAATACAGTAAATGACATGCATTCTGCCCATGTGTCCCATGAAAACATCGAAGCATGAAAATGGGATCTTGTCTACGTCCATTGACAATATCCCCCAAGGCTTCTCTAAGCAAATCCTGCTTCCAGTAACACAGAGTGCTTAGTTTAGTTACATGTGTGTTTTGTCCTCTAACCCCCGTTAAAGCACACTGTGAAGACATTCTCTCAAGTCAACACTGAAAGTGAGTTCACTGCTAACTCCTGAGTGCTCTAAACATGAGTGTGTCTTTGAGAAGAGGATTGCTCACAGCTCCGTAGCACACCTACTGTATGTCCTGTCTTAATGCACTGTCCACATCTAAATGGAGTTTCACCTGTTGGTGGACACCTGCTCAATGAATGAGTGTGTGAAAAAGGCTGGCTTAAAATCAGCTTGCGGTGGCACTCAACTTAAAACCACCGAACAAAAATGTCAAAAAATTAGTTTGACATTTGAAACGCAGGTCTGTCTACCAGTAGGTGAAATACTGTAGAAGTATTCTGTCCTACAGGTCTATTAGCGTCCTCGTATCTTCCCTCTTTACCCTCAATTGTAGCATCACTGTTTGTCTACTTGATTCAGGAGCACTACGTTTTCTGTCTGTCACTACGGAGGCTTGTGTTTGCCTTGCCTCCCACCCATAGCATGTTTCTGTCTCTTATTCTCTAGTTTGTTTGATAAAAAAAGTTGAAAAAAAAAAGAGAAGAACTTAAAGTCATCTGTATTGTTTTTGCCCTAATCGTGTCCGCGTCCAAGGTGGATTGTTACGACTACAACAACAGCGGATCGCACGAGATCATTGGATCCTTTCAGGCCACTCTGTGTCAAATACAACAGGCCTCACAGACATTTGCGGTGAGATTGGTTTTTGATGTTTATGATACAACAAAAGATGACATCTGCTTTTTTTTAAATCATTAAAAATCATTCAAATGTCTTGTGTTTATTTTCCCCAGGCGGAGTTCGAATGCATCAACAGTCACAAGAAACAGAAGAAAAGAAGTTATAAAAACTCTGGTGTGATCATCATAAAACAGTGCAAGGTGCAAGGCTAGGTTACCTATAAAAGCATAGACGTCATGTTTTAAAAGTTTTTTTTGTTTTAATCGTTTTGGTTTTTTTTTCAATCGAAACATGTACAGGTAGTGAAAGAATACACCTTTTTGGACTACATAATGGGTGGCTGCCAGATTAACTTCACAGTGAGTACTGAGTGTTTTATTTTTGAAAGTCCTGGCTTTGACAATACTCCTAAAGAAGCATTGGTTTTAGGAGGTATTTGACTCTTCTGTCGTGATTCAGATTGCCATCGACTTCACCGGCTCTAACGGAGACCCCAAGACCCCCCAGTCCCTGCACTACATCAACCCTAACGGCTTTAATGAATACTTGGCAGCCATCTGGTCTGTGGGCAACGTCATCCAAGACTACGACAGGTAAATACACACGCCTACTGTTTTTAAGGGACTCACCAATAATCCACCAGCAACAAAGCATGTTTTCAAATTGAAACTATGGGCCAGGTTCGGCCCACGGGCCTACTGTATGAACTATAACATTACATTTTTTTTGCACAGTGACAAGATGTTTCCTGTTCTTGGTTTTGGAGCTAAGGTTCCTCCTTCGTGGCAGGTGACTAATTCATTTTGTTAATTCATTTTTGGTAACTTATTATTTCACCTTGTAACACAAGATAACTGAACAAATTATTATAAAAAGGGTTTAACGCTACATATACGTACTTGTCTTGCCTCAGGTCAGCCATGAGTTTCCCATCAACTTTGATCCATCAAATCCATTTTGTTCAGGTAAGAACGGACTAAATATTTTTTGTGTAAAAAAAAATAGAAACCAAATAATTTTCTTTTCCTTCTAATTAATTTTTATTATTAAAAAAAGGAGCCTGTGATCCTATATTATTTATCCTTCCATTAACATCTTGACATTTGAAAGCACGTGTGACAAGGCCAACATAATTGATTTGTGGATTTGTTGCTGTTTACTCTATTGTTGTTGTTTCACTTGGTTCTTTTTCTCATTGAAGGTATAGAAGGTGTAGTACAGGCCTACCAGCAGTGTCTCCCTCAGGTTAAGCTCTACGGCCCCACGAACTTTTCTCCGGTCATCAACCACGTAGCACACTTTGGAATACAGGCGCTGCAGCAGCAAACCGCAAATGTGAGTAGCAGTGAGTGACTAGAATAGTGACCGATCACAATCTCCGTTAATGGAAATATCTCGTTTCCCAGCAATACTTTGTCTTGCTGATCATCACTGATGGCGTGATCACAGACATGGATGAGACGCGCAGAGCCATCGTCAACGCTTCTCGCCTGCCCATGTCTATCATCATAGTGGGTGTGGGAGGGGCTGACTTCAGTGCCATGGAATTTCTGGATGGAGATGACGGAATTTTACGTTCCGCTACAGGGGAAGCCGCCATGAGGGACATCGTGCAGTTTGTGCCTTTCAGACAGTTCCAAAATGTAAGCGAATGAATTAACATATGGTTAGCATGCGCCGCCTGAACCTCTTTGACACCGCATAAGTTAAGGTTCTTTTTAAGTGTGTTTTAATAAACTACACACACTGTCAGCAAAGTAAGCGCTGGCTCTGTGTGAGTTCCACATAACAGTAACACTTAAAAAAAAAAAAGAAAAAAGCCTGCTATGCCTTTAAATAATGTCCTAAAATTGTATTTCAGGCAGGCACTGCAGCCCTTGCCCAGAGTGTGCTGGCAGAGTTGCCTGACCAAGTGGCCTCCTTCTTCAATTTATTTGACCTGAAGCCCCCCAGCGAACCCAGTCCTTCCTAGAAATGTAGGAACTACCCTGATCACCTCTCTTTCCCCACGTCCCCCACCCTCCCTTAATCACACCCACAGCTGATTTAGTTATACTCAGCCGACATCGCATATGCTGTATTTTGTTTGTTCACAGCTGATTTAGTTATACTCAGCCGACTCTATCGCATATGCTGTATTTTGTTTGTTTTGTTTTCATTTTAAAGGCATATGACAGGGCTCCAGACACACCTAAAGAGCGTTCGAATAACAGTGTATGAGTTTTGGGTGATTTTGTTGTTGTTCTTTTTCACACAAAAGTCTGCATTATGTTCACAGTGCAGGCAGTGTTTCATATTCATAAAAAAAAAAGAAATTACCCCATGTAAAAATCACAGCTGAAACATCAGGTTTGCCCACCATTAAAAATAATTCCTGGAAGGGAGTTGAACAGCCAGTCACGGTGTTTGCTAAGAACTGAAAAAGTCAAAGACATATGACTGTCAACACCATAATAACGCACAAGCTCCAATTTAGGAGCCATGGATAAAGACTCAATCAGCACAAATATCTCTGGAGCCCTCAAATACGCCGTCTTGAGTTGCCATCCTCTAGTCTTTATTTGACTCTGCATGTAATCAGAACCCAAAGAGCTGCTAATATTGGGTGTAAAAATGATTCTGTTAAATGCAAAGTCATGACAGGTCATCCCGAAATTGGAAAAATTCATTGAAATGCAAAGTGAAAACACTGCTGCTCAGACCGTGCATTGAAATTTTTGCATGTTAAAGTTTGGAAAGTCGGAATCAAACCTAACACAATCCCATCTTTTTTCATTTACTAACAGAGTGCAGGAAGATTGTTACTGAAATGTCTTTCAAATGAGAGAGAGATGCACAAGTACAATAATCAAATTTGAAAACCTAGAGCACATAATCCACTTACATTTGAAAATGGATAGAACATTAGAGCATCTCTTCCTTCCAGCAAAAACCTTTTGTTTTTGCAGACATACTGTACAGTTATATACCTTCACTATTGTGGTAGAAAAAGCTGTAGAACAAAACACCACTTTTTCGTTTTTGTTAAAGTCTGCTTTTACAAATATGTCACTTGCTACACTTTCTTTTTTTGCTGTATTTCTACAGGCGCCTCAGGAAATGCTTGCTCAAAGTGTCTTGGCAGAAATCCCAGGTCAGGTAACGGGTTTCTTCAATACCAGCAGTTTGAAGCCGCCGAAGAGTAACAGCGACGCGCCTCCTCCTGACATCGCAGCGTCAGCACCTTCACTGTGATTCATCCTGAAGACTGGCTAATTGTCTCATCAAAACACACACACAGTATAGGTTAATCTATGAAGAACGTCATCCGTATACCTGAGATGTGTGTGTGCAAGTCCTCTTTCATTTCTAACCCATCATATTTGCATGTTATGGATGAACTGATCCTGTTATTCTGTGTAATGTTATACTTATATAAATAAGTCTCTAACATATAAGCCATAGTAGACAGCTGTAGTACAAAGAAAAACTTAAACTTTTAATTTTTATTATATCATGTGCAACATTTAATGTGATGTTAAAGTGTAACTAAAGTGCCAGATATATTATTTTATATTCCTTTTTTTTTAAGTGTCTTTTACTTGGTCACTTGGATTACAAATCCAGTATGTAATATGCAAGTAGACCGACGGTCTATTGAAGTTAGTCTCTAGATAAACAGAGGCAGCTGAAAGCCAACTGGCATTTTTACCCAGAAAACACTTGACCAGTGGTTTTCACCCCGAATGAATCATCAGTCGAGTCAGTTGAGATCAGTGGCCTTGGTCAGAGTTCTGGCTTTACTAAACTTCAGGGAAGCTTACAGTACATATGACAGATGAACGTACAGCTTCATTTTATATATCTCAAGCAACAAATGTTGCTTCTGCTGCTCCTTTGTAAGACCTTCACCCTGGCTTTACTCACGTTTGGTTTAACTAGTACTTCAATGTTGAGTTGATGAACTGTAAACCCTGTTTACACTCATTAACACTAAAGGTGCACTCTGTCCATCTTAAATAGGTGGAAAGCTTTTCTTAAGTCAACACCTACTGTTAAAAGTACCCTCAATATTCTGTCTAGGACGTCCTTAAACAAGTACGTTGAATATGTGCTAATTTTCCTAACATACGTGTTGTCTGTCAATGATCTTAACAGTATTTCTTTTTGTAAATATGATGCATTTTTAGTAGAATATTACATTTTAAATTGCTCTCTGTCACTTTGGCACATTTCTGTTTAATGTCACTTTGTAAAACGTTCTTATGTTCAGGTATATTCTTAATGCCATAACAATAAAAAGTGCATTTTCCTACTTTATCATTGGTAACTGCTGTGCATTTTTCTGGATTTTGTAGTTTAGTCGGTTCGTCGGTTTAACTAGTTGAAGAAACTTCTTTTTTTTTTTTATTTCACCATTTTATGGTGGGTTTTAGGGATGGACATACATTTGAAACACATTCTTAATGTGGTTTTACTTTTACTTCGCAGCAGGGCGTTTCAGTTTACGCCACACTGATAGTTGGTGACGTCATTAATCGGTGAAGGGACCGGAGACCTTTCTACTGTTGCTGCTGCTGTGTGTCGTCGTAGTGGGCGGACTCTGACGCGGAGCACACAGATGTCTTTTTAGGCTACACGACACCTTCAGATTGACACCATTGTCGTCTTCTGCTTATTTTTGTTGACTTTCAAAGTAAGTTTGAATCTTCCTAATATCTATAGATTGTTATTGTAGTTTGACGTGCTAAAGCTTTTAGCTATTTCTCTCAGAGCCTGCTAGCGCTCCCTAAAGTTAATAGTAGCTCCACACCCATTGGACCGCAGTGTTGGTGTTATGTCGTATTTTCCATGACACTCAGTAACTGTTTCGCCAGAGCTCTGTGTGTGTGAAAGTGAAAATAAGGCATTGTTGTTAAGCAGTCGACACTAAATATCCATGCTAACGGCTATAGTTATGTGTTTAGTAGCGCCCGGCTGTCAAGAGTGGTATATTCGAGTGGTATTTGTATTTTTTTAGCGAGAAATGAAGGACTTGTGAAATGTCAAGTCAGCCTGTTATTTTCAATTACCTTCTAAGAGCTAAACAGATTAGCTATTTATTTTTAGCTTATATTAGATAAGTATGTGACCATTTATCTAATTTATCTCCGCTGACTCATAAACAGGAGGTCAATAATTGGCTTTCCGGTTTAGAAAACCCCCACACATGCAGAGTGGGGATTATCTTGTCTCGACACTCAGTACTGTATGTCCACCTTTTATCAACCTTTTCTCCCCAATTCCGCACCAGTAGTCAATGTCTGCCTGTGAACCTGTTTCTGCAGCTTGTTGACAGACCGACATGGCAGCCCAGTGTGTCACCAAGGTGGAGTTGACCGTCTCTTGTGAGAACCTCCTGGACAAAGACATTGGCTCCAAGTCAGACCCTCTCTGTGTGCTGTTGATGTCCAGCACAGACTCCCAGTGGTATGAGGTCAGTGGGGTGTTGAAAGAATCCACATCACATCCCATATGTCTTTAAGTCTTGAAGTTTAAGTACATTCATAATTCAAGTTTTTTTTTTTTTAATGTCACCCCACTTTTGATACAACAGTTGTTGCCATAACAAAATCCTCCATTTGCACATTGTAACATTTATTTTACTGTCCTTCTATCTATTTTATAGATGATTATTAGTTATTTAAAAATAATGATTGGGTAGTAAATGATGAAACATGTTTGGTTTATGTCAAAAACTATGAACTAACTCAATAACTATTATTAAAAAATATATTTTATTATATATATATATTGCTTTTAGCAAGAATTTTATAGCAAGAATATATAGAATTTAGAATAGATTAATTTTAGAATAATTTTATTTAAAGCTTTATTGAACTCTCTCTCTCCCTCCTACCTTTGAGAAAAAGATATTCTGTTCATTTTCCGGGGTGTGTCACTGTACACAGTGTTACTCATTTACCACTATATGGAAAAGTCCTTGTGACTAAAGCATCCATTACATCACATCCATTTCCCAATGTGTGCTACTGTGTGTTAACACTTTTTAAATATTTTTTTGCAAAATGCTCGTAAACCCGACTCTCGCTAAGCGGCCCAAACCTTTTTCAACAGCTGGCACGAACAGAAAAAGTTCAAAACTGCCTGTCGCCAAAGTTTGCCAAGAAGTTTGTCATCGACTACTACTTTGAAATAGTGCAGAAACTCAAATTTGGGGTCTACGACATCGACAACAAGACCGTCGACCTGAGCGACGATGACTTCCTGGGGGAGCTGGAGTGCACATTGGGCCAGGTAAAACACTCACTGGTAATAAATACACTCACAGATGTTTGTCAGTCCTCGTTTACAGTAAATGGTGGTAGAACATGCAGCGGTGTAAGATGAGATGTCACTTTGTGGCCGTGTCAGTCACGTAACTCTCTGATGAACACGTTAGCTCTGCGGGTGAAATTTGACCTCAGATGTTCATCCTGCCTGTTCCTTACGCCTGCAGGAAGTGGGTTGTGAGTGTCTTGACTTTAAAGGTAAATAGAGGATTGCAATAGAAATACAGACAAAAGAAGGAAACGATAAGAACTTGAAAATTACTTAAATAATACTAATTTTTTTAGCCTTTTTTATATAACTATTTTGTTAATACCTGCCAAAAAGTTGTTTTTTGCAGAAGTTTCCATTCTCAAAGTCCAGAATTTTCTCTTTTTTTATCTTACATATTAATTTATGCTTCCTTCTCTACAATTCATTCTTTAGGTTGTGTCCAGTAAGAAACTGATCCGCCCACTTGTTTTGAAGAACAAGTCTCCTGCAGGGAAAGGGACGATCACAGTGAGTGGAACAGGTTTCCATTGTTTTTCCTGGTGTTTGTATAATTTGTATATTCATTTTTTACTTGTTGCAGATCAATGCTGAAGAAATAAAGGACAACAGGGTGGTGAACTTCGAAGTGCAAGCTAGAAAACTAGATAACAAGGTAAGTGTGATTTCTTTCTCTTTTTTTTCTTCTTCTTCTTTTTTTTAAATGCTAAAATTCCTCCTGGGACATTGTTGTTTTTGTTTTTGTCTTTTTCATGACAGGATTTGTTTGGAAAGTCAGACCCTTATTTAGAGTTCTACAAGCAGACGGCAACATCATGGCAGCTGGCTCATAGGACCGAGGTAAACACACTGCACACTGGTAGTGAAGTCACTTAAAAATAAGTGTACCATTGTTGAGTTAAAAAAGTACATTTCAACATCTGGGAGAGACATTTTTATTATCTTTTTAAAACAACATTCACAAATTACCACATGGGTTTGTCTCTTTTTAGGTGTTGCCCTCACACTGCTTTTACGTCATTATCTTTTTGACATTCTTTTCAAAGAATGCAACACTGCAAGTTTGAAATACTGCTGTACACCTGGCTGTTTGCCATGTTCTGTCGCTACTTTGTATTTTTGGTCCATCAAATCGTGCTCGATGCTAACTCATGATGTAGCATTACGTCAGTAGATCGGTATCAAGCGCGGGCCCTATTTTCCTGACCAAATGAATGACCAGATTAACGCTGAGGTTTAAGACCCTCGCCAAGTCACAATGTCTCCTGCGTAAGAACACGGAGAAAAAAAAATGTCTAAAAAAATCCCTAACCTCTATGTCAACAATTTTTGACCTGCGTTGTCCCCAGGTGGTGAAGAACAACCTCAATCCAACATGGAGACCATTTCGAATCCCACTGCAGTCTCTGTGTGGAGGAGACATGGACAAACCCATAAAGGTAAACCGCATGACGTCCTAGAACAGCTGGACTTACAGTACCACACACACACGTGCACGCCTGCAACTGATCTGAGTTCAGTGTTATTACCTAACACAGCTAGTCCAAGTCTTTTCATCAGTCCCTGGCTTTAAGACCGTAATGTCTAGTCAGTACTAGTTTGATCATGTACTTCTCCACCTCTGCTGAAGCAAACATGTCAGGAAGGAGGCCGTTTCCAACCGTACAGGACAAGTGAGTTACCAAGAGTGCAACAGTGTTTTGTCTTTTGCCATCTGGCCATCACTTAAAGGGTGCAGAGTGTGAATGAAGTGGACATCAACTCTGCAGGGTGTCCATTTTGCGAGTTCCTGTCATCTACGTAGATCCTTTCCTGGACGACGTTGGATTCTCGTGTCCTCTTCTGTCTGTGTCACATCCAACGTCGGTGTTTCACAGACGTACTGTAGACGTCTCTGCTTCTGCATGGTTTTTGTTTTCTGTGTGTCTCATTTCACACCATGTGTATTAACCACCAGGGTACATTGACACAACTTACACACAAGGTCTTCATTTATTTATTTCAGTCACGTATTCTAATGGTTTTTATGTTTATTTTATTTATTTCAGTCACGTATTCTAATTTTTTTATGTTTATGGTTTAACGGAAGATTTAAAAAAACAAAACAAAAAACACTCTCTGTTCTTGGAGATTTAAGAAAACACATTTTGTCCTTACGCACGAAACCAGCGACGGATTTTTCCTGTTTCCAGGTTGAGTGTTACGACTACGACAACGACGGTTCCCACGATCTCATCGGGACCTTCGAAACAACCATGAAGCGCCTCCAGGAAGCATCGCACTCCTCTCCGGTATGACACAACAAGCGCACAAACACCGTCCTTCGCCGTATGTCGCCGATTATAGAAGCACCTCCTTTTACTTCCCTTGACGTCCTCTGTTTCATTAAGCACTATTTTGAGTTGCAGCTGTTTTAAGATATTCTAAGCAGAAACACCTGTGTCGTCGTTTCCTCCTCCAGGCGGAGTTTGAGTGCATTAACAGCAAAAAGAAGCAGAAGAAGAAAGGCTACAAAAACTCTGGGGTGGTCAGCGTGAAGCTGTGCCAGGTAATGGGACTGCTGACCGTCTCTTTAATCACATATGGCGTAGTGTTACATAACAGTCTTTTTTTTCACGCAACATCTGTCTGATCTGTTGCAGGTGGTGAAAGAGTACACATTCCTGGATTATATCATGGGAGGCTGCCAGATAAACTTCACTGTGAGCTGCGTTATGTCAGTGTTTTTCCGTCACTGTGAGGCGCTGTGTTTCCCCAGTGATTAATAGCGCGTGCGTTTCGCTGTCAGGTGGCCATCGACTTCACAGGCTCCAACGGAGATCCCAGGTCTCCTCAGTCGCTGCATTACATTAGCCCGCAGGGTGTGAACGAGTACCTGACAGCTATCTGGTCTGTGGGAAACGTCATTCAGGACTATGACAGGTACGTGTCTGTGGTTGGACTGACACTAATAATTCTACTAAGTACTTACACAGATGCAAAATTATAGGGAGTGGCGCTTTGGCCCAGAGGCAATGTCTCTGTCATTGGTGTGGAACTCCAGGGTTCACCTCCTGGGCAAGTTCGAATCCCGGTTAGGGCGGTTGGTACCTTCCAGTGGACTCACCACCCGCAGGAAGGTTTAGGTACGGTGCAATGTGATTTGGGTGGCAACCGCTGCCCCCGCGACCCGGTAACAGATAAGCGGATGAAAATGGATGGATGGATGGAAAATTATAGGGAATACAATTCTAGTACTTAAATGAGGCGAAGAAGCAGGTCGTGACTTGATCCAAAAAATAAATAAAAAAAAATCTCCCAAAATTCTATTGGTGGAAAATAGTGTTTAAACTTATTCTCAAAATAGTAACTTTTTGCCCATATTGAATCTCAAAGACTTTTTTGTAGTATTTTTATGGCTGTAACTTATGTATTATCTCAGCAGAAAAAGAAGTCTTGACATGAATTTTGGTGTTATAGTAAAGTAGTTTAAGATAAGTCAAAGTTTTGTTGCTGAAAAATATTTTTTTTAAAAAAGTTCACTGTGAAAGAGCAGCTGATATCGATATATTTTGTTGAGATTGTCCTCAAAACACTTTTTTGATTTTGTGCACCTTAACATTAAGTAGTATTTCTTTCAGATTTTAGATATATTAATTATATTTCTGAAAAAGTGATCTTTAGCTTATTATAATGAGTCAAGCTATCACTCAGATGTTGTTTTTTGTTTGTTTTTTTTGTCTCTGTAGTGACAAGATGTTTCCCGCCTTCGGCTTTGGAGCCCAGATTCCTCCTAACTGGCAGGTGAAGTATCTGGCGTCATTTGGTAACTGGACTGTTCTTATAAGTCACGTGACGGAATTTCACTGGTGTTTTATTGCAGGTGAACCATGAGTTTCCGCTCAACTTCAACCCCGCAAATCCATTTTGTGCAGGTGCGTGTTACATTTCTAACTCCTCCTCCTGAACGTTAGCTACGAAAACACGTTTTTCATTGTCCTTGGTTTCGACGCCGGTCTGAATCTCACTCTGTGTGTGTGTGTGTAGGTGTTGAAGGCATCGTGGAGGCCTACAGGGTGTGTCTGCCTCAGGTCAAACTCTACGGTCCCACCAACTTCTCCCCAATCATTAACCATGTAGCCTCCTTTGCTAACCAAGCCCTCCAGCAGACTACAGCATCAGTGAGTGACCGACTTCTGATCCTTTGCCGCAATTATCAATGTTGTTTCTAGACTGAGAGAAAACAGTGTTTTAACCACATTGACAAAAATCATAAGCAACATTCAACTTCAGGTCCAAGGCCCAGTTTTTGTCACTAAAAACAGTGTTTTAACCACATTGACAAAAATAATCAGCAATATTCAACTTCCACATTTTGAGTTTTACATTTTAGCGTATTTTTCTTGCCATTTTCCATATCAATAATTCCATCATTTGGATTAGCCGCAAGTAGCAGAACACAGCCATTAGCCTACTTTCCTAATGGTGTTAGTGTGATATAATGGACACCAGGGAGCGGCGTGGCGTCATAATAATCTGATAGAAAGCAGTGATCACAGTGATCAAATCCTGAGATACGACTCCTCTCTCATCTCGCAGTTCTGTGTCGTCCACTTTCAGCTTCTCCCTGAACCAGTCTGAAATCTCAAATTATTGATAAACAAAATGCTGTTAAAAATATTTTTTCGCGTTCAAATAAAACAGTCAAGTTATATATATATAAAATATATATCTGAGCTGGCGCATCTTGATTGACAGCTGCGATCATGTGTCGGGTCACGGGCCTAAAAAAGGTTGGGAACCACGGCTTTAAACCTTTAAAGTTCTGCATCAGCTTAACTGTCTAACTCCTCTGCCTGTGTTGTTTTTTCCTCATCCTCATGAAGCAATACTTTGTTCTGCTGATCATCACTGACGGGGTGATCACCGACATGGACGAGACCCGCAACGCCATCGTCAACGCCTCTCGCCTGCCAATGTCCATCATCATTATAGGAGTCGGGGGAGCCGACTTCACCGCCATGGAGTTCCTGGACGGCGACGATGGCCGTCTGCGCTCTCTGTCCGGAGAAACTGCCATGAGAGACATAGTCCAGTTTGTTCCATTTAGGCAGTTCAAAAACGTAGGTGACATTTTTATTCTGGCCAAGAAACACAAACTGGAATGCTGTGTGGTTGTGCTTCCAGCTGTTGTTTTCCCGTGCACTTTGTCTCTCAGCATCTCACTATGACATTTCCATTTCGGCTGTTTTCTAATTTTCAAACATTAAGCTTTAACGCTTAAGATTACAGCATGAATTGAGCTCCCTGTATTTACGACAGACCAACGGTAGCATCCCCAAATATAAAGATTCCAGAAAAATCTCCAAAACTGAATTTTGGAGTATCTGCCGATGCCGACATCAATCCCGTACCATCTTTTCTCCTCCATTGTGCCGTAGGATGCCAATCCTGAGGCGATAGAATCCCTGTTTATGGCATGTTACGCAGCATTAAGTTGAGCATTTGGGCGTAAGTATCGAATCAGACAGGTTATAGATGGGTTTTTTTCCTCCATGTTTGAGTCTGTAATTTTGAGCACTATCGTACTGATACCAATCCTGAGTATCAGATTGAGCCTTCCCCTGCTGTTAGAACCCAGAAATCCAGACTAGTCAGATGACCTGAGTCCATTTTTTTTTTACATTCTAATGAAAAGTTGATTATTGTAAAGTTGTTTTATATTAAGATATTTTTTAGCTCTAAAAGTGACTCATGTAAAACACTGGTCAACCCCTCGTGTCCTGTACTTCCACACCACTTAGTTTACTTGTGTGCCCTGTGTATTCGTCTCGTTTCAGGCACCCAGCCAGGCTCTTGCTCAGAGCGTATTGGCCGAGTTACCCCAGCAACTGTCCTCCTTCTTCAGTTTACTCAAACTGAAGCCTCCGCGCGACCCCGCTCCTTCATAGGGTACCGCAGATATTTGAGTCACGACTTCCGTCTGCCGCTTTTGCTTTTTTTCCTTGCCACACAGGAAAACACGTTCACACGCTTCACTCACTGAGCATGACACAAGACCCAGTCACTGCATCCTTGGTTTTTTTTTTTTGTTTTTTTTTTCCACTTTTACAACCGCTGCCTTGCTCATTTCTGCACTCAAGTTCTTCTTTCTGTTAAAGGAAAAGGTCCCTCTGTTTAGACAGAACAACTTTCACAACGTGACCTACGCAAATATTGTCTGTATGACGTACGATGTACTTACGATGCAGTACGATTTTACACAATTTTATCACAATTTTTTATAATAATATAACGATACATTATTTGTAAGACTGTTCTCTGTGGAAGAAGTTTTTCCTACATTCAGTTTGAACACCTGAATGCCACATTCTGGTTTAATAGCAGGTCACAATTAACGGTATTAGGCGCATACGGCCACCTACTGTACTATCCAGGTAGTGGGTAGTTTCATGGTATGACTGACTGACTTTTTGAGACTTTCAGAGTCTTTCTTATCAGATACAAATTGTCACGCATTTGTATCGATTTTAAAACGATTCACGGTGCATCGCTACGTCCGTATTCTCCAAACAAAACATGTTTTCTCGCATATCTAATTATATATTCCCAAAGGGCTTTAACATATTTGGCCACATTTGTATTAATTAAACAAAATATTGAAAATTTAGCTCATTTTTTTCATTACAGTTGAGAGGATTTGGATTTGTAAACCAAAAAGGAAACATGTTTTCAGAATGACTTTTCCATTCTCATCAGTGCTCATTAACCTAATGAAATAGAAAATTATAGTAAGTATAGACTATGTAGGTGTTGCACAGTTTTTCACTTTTGATCTTTTCTGCCCTCTAGGCTCCCAAAGAAGCGCTTGCTAAGAGTGTGTTGGCAGAAGTCCCGTCTCAGCTGGTGGAGTTCTTTACTGTGATGAAGCTGAAACCCCCCATCTCCCAACCTGCAGCCAATCCTGCCGGGACGGTGTGAGCGTACAGGGAGGGAGAACAAACACAGACCACTCTCACTTCCTGCACACACAAATCTGATCCTAGCTTCTTGCAGTTCATTGACCAAGGCTCCCTTTCAGATTTCATCACTAGAAAAAAAAAAAACACTCCAGCCTGTGGGCCAGATTGTTTTTTTTTTTTAAACATGATGCAGTTTTGTTCAATTCATGGTGCTTCATCCAGGGATTAAAATCATTCCTTCATGTCTTAATAGCAGGGGAAAAAAACAGCTTTTTGAAAATAGAGTAGTGTATATGAATATTTTTTTAAAATATAAAAGGCTGTAGCATGTGTTAAGATATGTTTAGACCACGGGTCTTAAATGCAAATGAGCTGAGGGCCACAGCTGCAAACATCACATTATGTCGGTGTTTAATATTAATATAAAAAACAACAAATATTTTAGTATGATATTTCCGTGTAAACACCGAGTGAAAATTTTATTTTTAAATTAGCAAATTCAAAGTTAAATTATCGAGAAAAAAAACATACCTCAAGAGCAAAAATTCAATTATTGTTTATGGGGCCAAATGTGTAGGGGTTTACAGGTCAGAAGTGGACCCCGGGACCTGGCGTATGAGATCCCTGGTTTTGACCATGAGGGTTTGGAACAAATATAAGAACAATATTAAATACATATTGACAAGTAGTTGTGGATTCAAAGCGTGGGCCAGAAGTTTAGGACCCCTGTTTTAGACAGTAAAGATTTTCGTTATAGTCATATGAGATCCATGTTTTTAGAGACTCACAGCTAAGGCCAGTGAACTCCCATTCACAATGTTCCAATATTATGTACTTCGCACTCAGTACTAATAACATGACTATAAAAGTGCTTTTTGTTATTCAGGTATCCGTATATGGGCTTTAGTCAGTACGTCTGTTATATTTTATATTACTTAGGAATCTATCAATTCAATCTCAAATTACATCTCACAGTGTTTCTTTTTTATAACGTATGTCGACCTGATATTTAGTACAGTTTGCTTGTAAAACAAGCAAACTCGATTTTTTAACTGATAGAAAGTCTGTAGAACTTTGTGAAAATCATAAATCGGCTCAAGGTCTAAATGTAGCTAATTTAGCTGAATTAAGTTACATTATTTTTTTTAACCATACTTTGCGGTGTTAAAAGGGTACAGTAATTTAATTGTCTGTCCAACCTTATCGCTAACAGCCAAACAAAGACAACGCATGTTTTTATTTCTATTTCCGTTTCTATTTTTCTAATTGTGGTATTCATGGGTCATTTCCTGGACACAGGGTCGTCTAAATGACCTGCTCTTGTGGTCTTAAAGTAGTCAAGAGTAAATCTCAGTTTATAAGGAAGGGCAGTTTATCAGTACGCTATGTTATCTTACGGTGTGTTCCTAACAAACGGGACAGCTGAGCCAACGTCAGTGTTACTGATTTTACAGCTAATTTGTGCCTAATGTTGTGCAACATAATGCAGCTGCTGGGAATGTAAAAGGCCTTGTATTTTATTATCCAAAGAGCAACTCGCCTGAAATTAAAGTGCCTCCTGTTCAGCACAAAAATTAAAACACCCATTGACGATGAGTCGTTTTTACTCTGTCGTCCTTTTTTATCTTCCTCCTAATCACACTTTTTGTTTTTAACCCCACCCCGTTATGTATTTTCTACACTTAGTACAGTTGCAGTTATATATTTTAGTCCATTATTGGCTGCATTACATTGATGTTCAAGTGTCTGTTGGTGAGATAGAGTGCTCTACTACCATCTACTGTTAGCTTACGGCATGACATGATGTAACTAAAACTACTTTAATTAACGTAGTCTATATGTGTATTTTACCATTGTTTATCATTAAGTCAAACCTTTTAGACATAAATATTGTTCCACGCCCGTTTTATAACCTTTTTTTAAGAAGTATTGTTTTCTGTCTGTTGTACTGTATTCACATTTGTGCTTGGAAAACAATGAACACAGATTATGGCACAATTTAGGTTATGTTCTAATTTTATTTTTGATATATATTATGTTTTACCAAGATATTCAGTTACTAAAAAAGTATCACAGTGTACATTTATGTGTAGGAAAAAAATTATTATGAAAATCTTCCCAAAAATAGTTCCTCTCTAATCTTAGTGAATCAATAATATCAAATATCAGGTTCATTGGATATTGGACTTGATCTCCTCCTAATACAAACCTTTTTTTTATCTTCAGCTCAATTCAAATGCGTTTTAAAGCTTCTGATTACATAAAGTGAAAGTCATTTACAAAAAGGAAGGTGAAAAAAACTGAGGATTTAAAATGAGAGTATCTTCTGCTTACAGTGACAGATATCAGGATGGAAGATCAACAGATCCACAAAGTCTTTATTTCTCTCATCCCACTTGTTCCAGCTTTCTGAAATGGCTACTCCAGCAGAAGCATCTGTACTTAGGCACTTTACAGGTGTGTATAAAAACAAGCTACTTTCTTTTCACGGATTTCAGATATTCAGCATCTTCAGACGAATCTGTGAATTTTTATTAGCATCCATTTACTAATGGTCTTCAAAAAGGCTGTACAAACATCATCTTTCAGGAAAGGACGTCATCTTTTACAAGACATAGTATTGGTTCTTCATCTGGTAAGCACTTCATTTGGCTGGCTTGTGCCCGACAGAACTTAGCTTTAGATCAATGAGCGGCTAGCTGTGTGTAGAAAGTAACTTAAACTCCATGTAAAAGGTAGGTGGCGTGGTTCATCTGTAAGGTGTGAAGTGTTTGGTAAATATAATGCATCTTATAATATAGTTCAAAACTTTCCAACACACTGATGTTGTTACACATGATTACTACAAATACTTTTGTCAGCCTGCAGCATTGCTTATTTTTGACCATTTTAGACATTTTTGCAGTAATGGGTATGAATGTGTATAAAATTTTAAAAAGTATCTTTTTGCAAAATCAAGATCTTTATCTTCTACTTTGATCAAAAGGGTCTGTCCTGTCAAAATGAGGGCAAGAAGAAGGCAGACTTACATTCTACTAAATAACAGAATTACATGCTAATGTTGTTGAAGCTCGGTTAGCTAACAGTGCAACGTCACAGCTGATGTCAGCAGGGAAATGACACAGTAAAAGAAAAAGTTGGTTCCACAAATTGATGTTGTAATGACCCAAGTTTTTTTGTGCTTACAAGTTTTCAGTGGTGTCTGTCAATAAGAAGAGGGGGAGTAGTGCAAGAAAAGTCAGAAAAGTATTCAAATGAAAGGGTTTGGACTAACTTGGCCTAAGTCACAATACATTATTATATAAGTGTTTTCCCCCCACACAGTTGAGGAGCACAACAGCCTACTGGTACCAAAGTCAAGATACTGTTATGAGAAGAAAACCGATCCTTGTGCGACACTCTCTCGGTGGTACGTGGAGTGCCGGTTGATTGCTTTCACATGCGGTGGATGTTGTCATGATCCATAAACTGTTTAAGGTTCTGCAGGTTGTCCCACCACTGGAAGAGGAAGGTCTCTGCGATGAGGCTGAACCAGGGTGTGATCTCCAGCTCCTTGCGCTTGGCCTTTTCCAACATCTCATTTAACTCCTCTTTGCTCACGTAGCAGTGACTTTTGATCTCATTGGGGTCTGGACTCAAGTCCACGTCCTTTTGGAAGAGGGACAGATCAAAAAGACAAATGTCAAAAAGCGTAGAAGTGATAGGTGTAGTTAAATACACACTAAAAGATTGACTTAATTGGTCAGGAAACTATTATTTATTTACTGCAGATATTATTTACCACTAGGTGGCAGAAGATGCAATGGAAAACATAAATGAGAGATGTTGAGCTTTTTACAACACTTGGGCGTTCAACTACACAAGTAAGTACATTGAAATTGGAAGACCATGGTACATACAAAAAAAAATATAGTACTATAGTACCCAACCTTTAGACAATGACATAAATAAAACCGAGAAAGGTATTGTATTTTTAGGCCTGAAGTCTCACTGCTACCTTTTGCATAAAGAGGATGTAGTCTATCTCATGTTCACCCCACACACCATCTGACTGAGCCTTGTAGTGGATTCTTGTAAGATATGTCATTTCTTCTGGTGTGACCTTAGGGAGAGAACAGAGGTCAAATGTTACCCTTGGCCTAAATATTACGAATATTTCTTCTATTAACAGACAATGCAGACACCTTCAGAGAACACTACCTGGTCCATGGGGATCCCCAGTTCAGCCTCGAGTCTCCTCTGAGCTGCTCTCCTCACGCCGAGTGCGTCCTTCTCCTCCAGCTCACTGTCAGTGTGTAATGGGTGACTGCAGCATGTGTTCGTGAAGCATCCTGCATGAACAAAAACACACCTACAGGTAAATGCACGGCAGGTTAGCGAGGGTCTATGAAGAAAGTGTTCTTTTTTTGACGCTCACCAGGAAAAGTGATTTTGGCGTCTGATCGTTGCTGCAACAGCAGCTTCTCTTCCCTGTTGAAAATGAAGACACTGAAGGCTCTGTGTAACATCCCTGAAAACAAAAACATAACCCATTACTAAAAATACACTATATAGTAAATAAGATCGAAGTAATTGGAATGAGTATTACGGTAATTCTAAACAAATCCGACCAACTGTGTGCAGATATGTGAATCACCAACCTTTGTCTATGTTGGAGTTGAGGTGACAGTTCTTCTTCGTATCTGCTCCGACTTTGTGGTCGTTCTCATCAATGAGGATGCACATTTCAGACAGTAGCTGCACCTGCTTCTCATCCAGGTGATCTGTAGTTACCTCAGGCATCTTGGCAGCACGGTGAAAGCCTTGCACCTTACTGAAGTAAAACCAGATGCTGTTCAGTTTTATAATACATTCTGTGCTTTGTTAAGGAACTGATGTGTTGGATTTGAAAAAAAAAAAACAAATGAACAAAAACGTTCATCGTTGTTTTAAGTCAGTTAAGAGTATCTCTACTCTAAAGTATCTTTAATCATCTATATGTGGTTTGTTTACGCCAGACGCTTACCCACGTGGACGATGTGCTGTGCTCTCATTGGTCAACAGCATTTCAGGAAACCCACGAGCACCATGAGTCTACACTACTGTTCAGACAGGGTATATTATTGTCTTCATAGAATTGATAGTAACCTGATATCGACATAATATAGCTAAACAGCTAAACCTGTTTTCTATATGCAGAATCAAATAGAATAAATACCGCAGTTTGAAGTTGTTGCAAAAGTAACAAAGAATGACACCAAATGTCACTTTTGATGTAATGTGAAAGTGTGTGTTTTTATCTTTTTACCCCAAGCACACAGACAAACTGCAGTAAGGTCAGCTATCAATAGCACAGTCCTGCAGCTTAACGTCAGCAGGCTTAAGCGCGGCTTTCCCTTCTCCAGCCTCATGTCAACAACCACAAATGATGTCAAAGAACGACCGACCTTACCTGGAAAATGTGCTATGACGGACGAGTATTACTGCGGGCCTGCGACGACTCCAAAGTGACAACACTCCAGCGACAACAGGTACGTTAGGTTTGAGCCAAGCGGCACCTTGTCGGCTGTTGTACACTCCCCGCAGCACCGCCCACACTGGCCGCACCATCGCCTGACGAAAAGTAAAACCAATCACACTGACTAAGACCGTGGATGTAGATAATACCAGGAGTGGAGTTTGTTTACTCTGGATTACCGAACCTCGCATTTAGGTCTCAAGCAGAAAGATGGCTCAAAAAATTAAACGTATATGTATTTGCACAACCTATTTTATTGACCAACACGTTATTTGAACACCTCTGAGTTTAATTTTTGGATAATATTATTTGTGCTCTTATAATAGCAAGAAAAAAAAGCCACATCCAAAATACAAGTGCGATAAAATATATTGACTCTTGAGTCTGTTAACCTTGCAAGGCGACAAAACACAAAACAGTAGTACTAATTTATTAAAAATACATACAATATTTAAGCCCCAACTCTTTTTACTACTAATAATATTGGTGATTTATGTGCATGATGCGATACCATCGGATAAAACATCTAGGGTATAAAGACACTATCAAAAGGTACTTAATTAAAAAATATAACAGGTAAATAAACTCTAAATACTTTACGCACTACGTCTATTAATCTCATCAACATGTCATTTTGACACAGTAGAAGGGTATTCCATGTTCCGCTCCGGGTTTTGATACGAACACGCTATCAGACCATAGCACTGTCTTCAACAGCACCACCCAAGCCTGGACATGTCAGCCGGACTTAAGTATGCACATTGTGCCACACGTACTGTACACATGTAAAACTCGATAACATTTTTTCTTACTCACAGCGAGTCTCTTCTTGTTCGTCTGAACAAAACGCGTATTTGATCGTTTATGGGCTTATTTACCGTGACATTTAACACCTCAACACTGTTGTCAGTCGACCTAGCCTTCAGTACTGTATGTGACGTAATAGCTTTCCATTGGTCACCTCAATGACAGCGTAGCAGTAGATTGGTTAAAAAAATCTTCACGTGACGAAGTATTAAAATATGTTGGCTTGTCTGAATATTGGATTAAATTTATAGGATTTGTGAAACTCAGGTCACGCATGGCAGCTCGCTATATCGATACATAGACAAATAATGATGTAGGACGTTCTTTCACACTTCACCTGCAGCTTATTAAAAACCGATACGACGATACTATTGCGGCTGCTAGCTGTGTTAGCATGGACCTAACGTTCACTGTTCTCACACAGCCTTGCTGGACCAGGGTGTAGTCAGTGGCGGTGACTAGCTGCGGTGAGTGTCGCCGCCGCTCCGTACAATAACGATGCCGGGTCGTGAGACATAGAAACAGGCGACAAACGTCTCTTATACAGTAAGGATATTTGAAAATAAAGTAACTAGAGGTTCTGAGTAAAGCGTACAGAGAATACATGTTTGTTAGGGCTTTTGTTATGTCTAGCTTGCGACTGTTACAGTATGTTCAATGTAAACGTACCTCCTTATTACATATTATTTTTAACATGGTAAAAATGTATTTTTACCCTTATGTGCGTTGCCACAAAAACGCCATCTCATTGTCTTGCAGTTACTACGCAAGAAGCCTGATTGAGAAAACTGATAAATTTAGATGCGAACGTCTGTTGACAAACGTAGGCAGGATGTTGTTGTGGATATTTAAGGTGCACTAGGCCTAGACACTCGTCGGTTATACATTCGGTTGTTTTGCATTCATCAATAACCCCCACTTTTGTTTGTACGTTAAAATTTGATTGTAGTATTTGGTGTTGAAGTAGTTTACATCGATATAACACTTATGGTGCGTGGACTCGTAATCACGTTTGTACAGTTGGGTGATTTGGTAGTGTTGCAGAAATGTAAATTAGATTGAAAATTTCCAGGCACTATCATACTGCATTGTTTTTTCTATTTAGATTGGGAATTTTGACCTCATCTTGTCATCTCTACCTGTAGGTAGGAAGGGACAAAACAGTAACCAAACCCACCATACAGCCAATCAGCAAGCTCAATCCAGGAGGAAGGCAGGAGGCAGGGCCTCTCAGCAGGTAGGAGGGATGCCTGTGGAGGGCGGAAGCAGCAGCGGCTCTGTAGCAGCTCGCCACCCCAAGCAGAAACGAAAGGCACACAGTTTGTCTATCCGGCGTACAAATAGCACAGAAGACAGACCCCTGGGTATACATAGAGGAGACATGCTGGAGGGACAGGTAAGAAGCAAGCATCTTCATTTCCTTACTATTTTTCTCTCTCTCTCACCTGTCTATCCAACACAACCTGCAGCTTGTAAATGTGTTATAGCAGAGGTTTGGGCAAGGATCAGCAAAGTTTTTAATGAACACGTGTCTTTGAAAAAGATAAACTTCGAGTCTATTTCTGCTGATAAGAACTACCTGTCATTCTTTTGTGTTTTGAAACTTTGTTTATTTGTCTTACCAATACAGTACTAGCCGGTTGAGCAGCTTTTTTTATCGTCAACATAGTGTTACAGCTTAGTTTTCACAAGCCAGACTGTGCAAGTGTTCTTAGAAAACTGAGATGGATTAAATCCAACGTTCCTTGTATTGAAACTAGGTAAAAAGCGTTATATGTTTTTTATCAGCTGGTCCTGTCATGTTAGTGATTTGCTGTCTTCAAACATAGGTTGAGCCAATATTGATTTTTTTTTTTTCCTTCCTGAAATGACTGTTAGCTTTTTGATATGCCAGCACTTCCTGCTGTAAAGAGCCTTGCAAATAAAAACTGTTTATGTTTGATCAGGATCTTTGTGGTTAACTTTAGGGAGTTGGCGGAGATGCCTCATTGACAGTCATGTCATAGATAAGAGACACGTCCATTGTTTTCTGGTGTCCGAAATCAAACAGATTGACAGAGTACAGAGCTTAGTTTATTTGTTTTTCACAGATATACACAATTTTTGCTTTTTTGTTTTGTCAGTATTGATTGGCCCGTTGAAGGCTTTTCCATTTTACTTTCTCTACCCAACAATGCCCTTGAAACCTCAGCCTGTTAGGCTGGAGCTTAGCTTGGCCGGTTGTCTCATCAACTTTTAATATGGCTTGCTTGTCCAGGTCTGATTAGTCTTTTCAACAGGCCTTTTGCTCTATTGCAACGCATGCTGGCTCTATATATGTACAGTACAGTAGTCGACCCCCTGAAGCACAACTTTCACATGCACAGACAGCTTTACAAACCCATATGCTGCACAAAGAATGCATTTTCTTCCCTGTTTTGAGTGCTGCCATTAAAAGCCATAGTACGCTGCAGGTTTTAAAGCTATAACTAAGCAGCTTTGAATGCATAAGAACTGCCCCTTGTTTCCTAATTGACCCATTTATTTGGGTTGCCTTTCACCCTACGAATGTGTTGACATGTGCTGCTGACAGAACGGTCAAGCGGTTAATGTCACTTTTGTTGGTTTAAAAAAAAAAAAATGCACCAAAAGAAAGAAGCGTCCTTTTTGAGTGTGTCGCTTCCTGTTCTTTCAGAGGGTTGTAGAAAAATAGAAGCAGCTCTCAAGGTGAGCTGTCAAATGCAGGTTTTCAGTCCATTGTGTTCACAGCAGCCTTCACATCTCTTTGCATGCTTGCCTGCCCTAGTTTGGTGTGCATCGATAGCAGGATACTTTTAGACGTTCGACATGGAGGTGAGTAGAAGTGTAGAGTGTGACCGGTTGAACTCAGTGTATAGTGTTTTAATTCTTGGTAGCTTGACGTTCTGTAGAACAAAATATAGCGGTGTATATGCTGTATCATGTATATACATACAGTATGGACCTTATGGCAGATTATCTACACAGGCTTGGTTAACCAGGAGATCGCTATAAATTTCTTTTTATTTGGATTTGTCTTGTTTGTTCTATTAGTCACTCAAACTTCCTTTAGCAGCACTTATTATATCCACTGTGAATACAGAGATGACTGTCTGTGCCTGGGGAAAATTTGTTTAAGAGGATATTTGAAAAAAATGTTATGGGTTCTTATCTACTAGATAACGCAGGTGTGCATGTTTTATATTTGAAGTCTAAAAAGTGTTATTTTCTCATTTGCAGGACTCCAAGCTGCCCCCTGCGTTGCGAAACAATCTCCTTGACCTCTTCAGCCAAATTGAACGCGAGTTTGAAAATCTCTACATTGAAAACATTGAACGTAAGCAACTTGTAGAGAGAACTGGCTTTTTTTTTTTCTTTTTTTTTTTTTTTACCTGACCGTACTGACCTTACAGTGTTGATTGACTAACCAGATGGTTTCAGTGCACAGGCATTGTTTACTTACTGATGCCCTGTCACTGTGCTAACATTACAGTACGCCGGGAAATCGACTCCTTGAATGAGCGACTGACCGGAGATGGACAGACTATCGAGGGAGGAGACCCCACCAAGGGAGCCTTGAAAACAAAAGGTCCAGTATTCTAAGTATTACAAATGCATTGAGCTGTTTATGCAGGTATTCAAAGGTCATTGCTAGTTAAATACCCATCTACAGGAAGCAACATTAGCACACATTAAAATAGTACAAGAGCTATTTAAGTCATTAAGAATTTACATCAGGTTAACAAAGTCGCACTAGTCATAGATTCAGTCGCCTCAACATAAAAAAAAAAAGAACACAACATGTAAACACAATAATTAGGCCACAAATGAGACTACTGAGGTCAATACCACAGAGAGCAGCTCTCAGACTGAGACACATGTATATTTTAACTCGTCTCTCTTTTCACTCAAGTGGTGTTCCACTGTAACTACAGTTTATATAAATAATGAATGCACTTACTCTCACAGGTACACAGTATCAGTGCAGCCGCTTTTGCCCAGTTGAAATGCAAAGTGGGTTAGTGTAGCCGCAGTGGACTCCGCTTTTGCCCAGTTGAAATGCAAAGTAGGTTAGGTTAGGTTTCTACTGCACATACAGTGGGGCAAAAAAGCATTTAGTCAGCCAGCAATTGTGCAAGTTCTCCCACTTAATCAGACGAGAGAGGCCTGTCATTTTCATCATAGGTAAAAATTGTTTAAATAATCTATGTAATTGTGTCATAAAATAATAACTTCCATCACTTTCCTGTCACTACATGACATATGCAGATAATTTTGGCAACACATTTGCACATCAGATGTTCAGATCCCTGAACATCTGGGTATAAATCACAAAACTTCCTTTATTTGTAAAATAAACCACTATGTATACTGTACAGTATAACTTTGCAGAGAATAAATACTGTAAGTTGCAAATACACAAAAAGATTGGTGCATAAAATCTGGAAATCAGTGTCATGGAAATTCTACCAACATCTTTCAGATGAAGTGTATTAAGCTTCCTTGACCAGGAACAATCAACATTCATTCATAAAGTCAATTTATAGGCATTTTATTTGGTGTCACATTTGTAGCCACATTTTCAGAAATTTGCCTTAGCCTCACAGACTGTACTGGAGCAGCAAAAGTAGTTGGTCACCCATTGGCTTTTGTGTCTCTGTCATGCAGCTAGCCACAGCACAAGTCAACTGTCACAGAAGCTGAAGACAACATATAAAGCCTCTACCAGCAAGGTGCGTAGCCTCGCCTCTGTTAACTTGTGTTACTGCCTAACATTTTAATCTGTGTTGTTGCCTAAGCCATTGGGAGTTGTCCAGTCGAAGGAAGGTAACAGAACACTACCATCATTTATGGCAGTGGTTCCCAAATCTTTCCTGGAGCAAACATTGTAGATAATGTCCCCTACACCCCACTGAACTTTATTTAAAAAGCCGTAATTCCTAAAAAATGATATTTCCACTGAAATTAAATTAAAAAAAAATATATATATAAATATAAAATTGCAAATCAGTTAATTTTCCCACCTTGGCAAAATAAATATTAAATTAATTTGTCCTGCCTTTACTGCAATAATTCCACACCCCCAAGTGAGGCCCACCCCCCGTACTTTGGGAACCACTCATTTATTCTTTGCGAAAATGTTGTTTTTGTAAATGCACACGTGTTGATTAACAACATTCTACCCGAATAAAAATTTTGATTTTTGTTTTTCCATGCATTGTGACATTATTTCTTTTTTTTTTTTTAAACCTGATGTAGAGCTTGTACACTTTCCATGGCAAAATAAGTGGACCTTTCTGTGTGGCCACACGGGAATTGTGGGGCGGAGATTCGTGGGTAACTTCCTGAATGCTGAGTTTGTTTTTACTAAGCATTGCGGGACAGCAGCTGTGGTCTCTTGTTAACTGAAGTCTGACCTTGACCTCTCATCTCTTCTCTGCTCTGCATTGTCCCAGAGGTGTTATTCTAAACGGCTGCATTTGATTTTATTTCAATCTAGATCATTTTTAGCCTTTTTTTAAATTCGGAGTACGTAACGACCTTGCTTTGTCAAAGTCCTTATTTTTCCAGTAGTATTCCAAAGGTTTGAATTGTCCCAAATTTTCACACAGTGGTCCATAAAATTCAATATCTGTTATATTTTTTTGGAAACCGTCAAATCATCTTTTACGCAGTTTCTGATGAATTGTACAGTTCACATCTGTCCCCTGCAACCATAAAACTAAGTATTTAAACTACAAAACAAATTAGGTTGATATTTATTAAATTAAGGGGTGTTATTTATGCTAAGTACTATTTTAATTAATATTTAAATTTCTTATTTTGATCGTTTGTTTACTGTCTACTGTGTTTTTGCATCATTAAATATAACACCACCACATAAACAGCAATTGACTTTGTTACATGGTCTAAACTAAGGTAATATATGTCATCCAACCTTTACACAAAGCTAAGGTATTAGCCTGCTGCTATTGATAGTCCAGTGTTATCCTGAATATAACCTGCGATCAACACTGGAAACACAAAATTAGTGCCAAACTATGAACACCTCTCACATCCTATTTACTGTATGTAAATGCAGCTGATTTGAGCTTATAGATAGAGTACCCTTTTTAAGGAAAGTATAGTAACAGAGGAAACATGAGATCAAGACAGTACCTCATAGTTTAACCTTCTGACAGAACCAGTTGCTTCATCATTCGGGGCTAACCCCTCGGCTGGCTGAGAATCGCACCAAAAACCTAATTTTGCCTAAGGGTGAAGGGGCCGATGACTAACTGTATTCTCACTTTCCTGCTGGATACACGCGTGCTTTCACTGTCAGTGAACAGACTCAATTGTATTGGACTTTACCTTGAGTGTAAGCACAGCAGACAGAATGTGAGGGTGCACGTTAACACCGTGTGTGACACGTGGAACCAGATGCTTCTCTGCTGCATTTAATGACCCCTAGTGATCCGAGCTCATCTCTGTGGTCAGCCGCTCACGGTAGCATGTACAGCAGCAGCAGCCATTGCTCTCTGACAAGCAATAGTACAGTCCCACCCTCTGGTGTCTGCGTGTGAGCCGTGTGCCAAACTCACAATTAAATCGACCTGTTCTGCCTCAGTCATGAGTGCACAGTGCTGGTGCATTCACTGGCATTAACCTTGTCCTGCCCTTAACACTGCCCGTGACACAGTTTGGTGACATGTGAAGCTTTGCAACAGTTGGAGAGTCTGATGCTCTGGTTTTTTGACAGTACTCATGTCTAGCATGGAACTGCACTGACCTCTTTTCTGTACGCCTGAGTCACGAAGTAGGTCAAACTACATGTTGATCCCTGTAATCTACCATTTTTAACATTTGAAGTGTGACATGCAAATGATAGGGTTGAGATAGATTTATAAGCTCCTGCGCTTCAACTTGGTAGTTTATAATGTAATATACTCTTAAATATTTATTTTAAATGACTTACATCCTTAAGGTCACCTGTAACATGCTTAAAATAAGTCTCCTTTGCCTTGCATTTACTGACTTTACCGGTGAATAAGTCTCCTTTGCCTTGCATTTACTTTACTTTGCAGGTCTAGTGCTGGTGCACCAAACTGTATCCCGATGTTAATGGGTTTGTCAGAGAGCAACAGTAACCTAAAGCATCGTGTGTGACAGCTGAAATGTAACCCATAATCATATTCCCGTGATCGATACTTACAGTTTTCTCCCCTTGTCCTTGTCTCCGTCACCCTCCATCCATTTTCTCACCCGTACAGATCGTGTCCAGTTTCAAGGCCACCACAGGTTCCCGGGCCTTGTGCCAGCTGCTAAAGGAATATGTGGGTCACAGGGACGGGATCTGGGACCTCAGCGTCACTAGAACACAACCAGTGGTCCTGGGTACTGCCTCTGCAGGTACTTCAAGACACTACCCTGACCTCTTTGACATGTATGGCCTTTTGTTGTAGCAGCAACCATGCCTTATTGTAGTTATAAAAGGAATACTTTCAAGTCAATACTAAAGGTAGTAGTGGTTTTGCTTGTGCTTGTATTAGAAATTAATTCTAAAAAAAAACAAAAAAACATTTACATGTCAGTGAAATTTCCCCACCCTTGATTTGACCTGTCCCCCTGTAATAACCACGTGCCCCCTCAGGGTGCCTGCCCCCCTCTTTGGGAACCGCATTATATCTTGAACTAGGAACGTAAACAAAACAGTATTCTGTCTTCACCTCAGGAGTTGATTACTGTCGAGGTGTCAGTGGACTAACCCTGTCCTTCCTGCTGTCCTCACAGACCACTCAGCTCTGCTGTGGAGCATCGAGACCGGGAAGTGTCTGCTGAGGTATGCTGGTCACGCTGGATCAGGTAAACGGGAATTTCATTGATACAATAAAAGCAGCAGGCCACTTGCCGTGCAGCCGGTGTGCTTATCCAACATATGTTGCAGGATTCTGTTAGCGATAACAAGGTGTCTGTCTGTCAACATTTGCTCACACAACAATGATGAATAACAGGTTTCCGTGTCATGGTTTGTCCACAGTCAATTCCATCAAGTTCCACCCCACGGAGCAGATGGCCCTCACAGGTTTGTGTGTGAACCTTCTGTGACCTTGTTCTCAAACCTTTGACCTTCTTTGTCTCTTTTTTTTACATCATAATTTTTTGTTTCGATGTAAATGTGCTACAAGTTAATTGGATCTTACTTGTCGTCACACAGCCTCCGGGGACCAGACGGCTCACATCTGGCGCTACATGGTGCAGCTCCCTGCCCCACAGCCACCACCAGATGTCAGTGTAAGTGCTTGTGAAAAACTCTCTGATAGGGTTCTCTCCTGGATTATCACTAGATTTCTTAATTTCTCCTAAACTGAAGAAATGAGGGGAACGTAAATATGCAAATAGCCGCTTTAATAGAAGAATGTTTAATCACTTTGTTCATAAAAGTCACCGACTCATATCCGAGTTGTCAATGTATATTAAACACAATTAACATCTATAGACATGTTTCTGTTCTTTTACTCCTCAGGCTCCGTGCGATGACGACCAGGACTCTTCAGACAGAGAGGAAGGAGAGGTGGACGGCGAGGGTCCATGCGAGGTTCCCACCGTCCGGGTCGCTACAGCCACATTGAAGAGCCACCAGGGTGTAGTGATTGCAGCTGATTGGTTGGTGGGAGGTCGGCAGGTGGTGACGGCCTCCTGGGATCGTGCTGCCAACTTGTATGAGGTGGAGACTTCAGAGCTGGTTCACACGCTCACAGGTTGGTTAAAAAAAACAAACAAAACAGTTCCTTTCAGTTTGGTGTTTACTTGTGGAAATAGTCTTTTCTGACGAAGAGTGAAGCAGTGATTTTTGTCTGTAAATGTTTTCAGGCCATGACCAGGAGCTGACCCACTGCTGCACTCACCCCACTCAGCGTTTAGTGGTCACATCATCCAGAGACACCACCTTCAGACTGTGGGACTTCAGAGACCCGTCCATTCACTCCGTCAACGTCTTCCAGGGACACACGGAGTGAGTATGACGCGCCATATTCGATCATATACATGCTGCAGTTCTCCTTCTGTCCACAGTGTGGAGCTGTAGCATTACTTTGTTGTGTGAAGAAGTGTTTTTTGTTTCCCCCCCCACTGACAGTACCACATTAATTTACAGACCCTGCTCCTCTAAGCCAAATCCTCCAGCCTCTCATTCATTACTGAGCACTCCTCCTTCCTTGGAAGCCCCCCCTCCCATATTTCCCTGTCCCTCTCCTCCCCCTACACCATTTATCTCTTCTTTCAGTGTTAATCCCCCACTCTGTGTAATTCAGCACTTTGCCTCATGTAAAAACTCAATTGCAGACACTCATTTCAAACTGACGACTGTCAGGCCTGTGTGTCTGTGTGTGTGTCTTCAGTGGAGACACATTTCTGTGTGTGTACTGACGGGCTGGCAGCCTTCCATTTCAAGTTGGGGGATTATGTAGAGCTTATTACACGCGACCCCAACATGTATAATTCCTGCAGATCCCACTTTAATTATCTCCCATAGACAATTGCTGTAATGAGATTACTCACCAGCGTTTCACGGAGCGCCTTTCTCTCCCCCTTCCACCATTTTTTAATTCCTTCCCAAATGGCCACCAATGTCCTGGAAAACCACTTTCGGCGTATGCCGAGTTTTACACATCGCGAGACGCAGAGCCCGAGTGAAACAGTCTTATCAGTTTGAATCCATATATTTTCCATCCGTCGCGCATCTCTTACACTTTTTTTTTTTTTTTTTTAACGAGGTGTCAGGAGAAGCTGCGTGTAGACACTTAGCGGTTGCTTGCCCAGCTCGGGTAGAGATGTGTATTGTAGCTAAAGGTGTGAAGATGGAGATAGAGCCGGTTTTTAAATGTCTATTAAAACACATAATATGGTGTGAAAGTGTAGTTTTACACCGAAGATAAATTAAATGAGAAAATAAAAAAAATAAAGTGTAGTTTTACACCGAAGATAAATGAAATGAGAAAATAAAAAAAAAAACTTCCCTCCTTCGTCTCCCAATGTCTCACGGTGTCAGGCGATATCCGTGAGCTTTATGTTATTTCAATTGAATCCAAATACTAAATTAAAAGCATCGATATCCGTGAGCTTTATGTTATTTCAGTAAAATCCAATTACTAAATTATAAACAAAAACAATGTATATACATATATAATATATATATAAAACATACATCATCACATAAATAACAAATATAGAGAAGTAATAAAAAGTTTACCTGCAGAACGACCTGAGACACAATCTAAAATCTTACATTTGAATAGACTAGGCAATTAAAATGCACTTTTTTTCCCCCATTTGATTTATTTATTGTTCCAGACTCTTTTTCGCTTGGTGTAGCGATCCGTTAGAAACAGAAATAACAGCTAAGAGGAGAAAGTGAACTGTTTAAAGGTGGAACCACGCCCTCGAATCCAGAATAGACGCTCCAATGTCCTATTATTTCCACTGTCTTCACTCGCAATTACCCCGTAAACTCCCTGACAGCGAACACACAGCCGCTAAAACTGCACCAGGCACCTCCTGTTAAAACCCCGGCCTCCGTCACTTTCGGCCCGCCCTAATTGCAGAGCAACGACAAGCGCATTCTGAGTTAACAACACAGCCCAGAACAAACACGCCGAGACGCCAGACCTGCTCTTCACACGAGGCTGTGGCGTCATGTTTGTCTGTTATGTAAGCAGCAGCAGCTAACAAAGAGAGATGGTGAGATCCAGGTTTGTCCAAATGCATTATGTGCTTTGCTGCATCGTCTTTTCGACATAGTCTTGTTTGCATCAAGATGCAAATGTTCGGAGACCCTGTCCCTCCTCAGTGCCTCATTTCCCTGATGTACTTCAAATCAAAGCACGGCGGAAGAGAGTCTTCCCTCATTACGTCCCCCGTTTTTTTTTTTTTTTTTTTTTTCCAGCTCCTTAAGTCTTCAGTCTTGACCTTGGTTATCACAGTCGCTGCAGAAACGCCATTAAGTAACACAGCTCGCCGTCCTCCTCACCACCCTCTTTAAAAAGCCTTTAACCTTAATCAACCTTTTAATCAATTACCTTGTCTGATTAAACCCTACACACACCTCCCACCGCACACACCTCCTGTCTCTCTCACTCTCCGCCTCCTTCTGAACACCCCTAATTTCCAGGTGGGTGGTGCGACGCAGCGCTAGAAGGTGCCTATAACAATAAAGCAGTTTTCTCTCCAAGCCCCGGCTTCCCTAATAGGTAAAAGTTTCGTACTTCAATTAGCCTCTAATATCATGTCAGTTTGAATTAAATGCGAAGACAGTTCTGGCAGGAAATACTGGCTACAGAAAGCCCGACAGTACAGGGAGTGAAGATGAGAAGAGCCTCAGAGGAGCAACTGGCATACAGTCGTTCACTGACTGATGTTAACTGACTCGCGCAGCTTCCCTCCAGGGACAAATCATGTCAAGCACACCGAGCCGCGGCAGAAAACGTGTTAGAGGAGGAGGAAAAAAAAGAAAAGAAAAGAAAAGAAAAACGCTCACACAGAGAGCCGCAGACACTACAGAATCCAGACGCGCATCTGTTTATTATGTAAATCTGCAAATGGCTTCTTGCATTAGCACGTTCCATTAACGTGCAATCATACATCCTTGGCGTTCCCTTGTGCTTTTTTTTCCCCCTTCCGAATACCGCTAAAAATGAAAATTAGTTATTATTGTTACAATGACAATAAAGGCTATATATATGTACATATATATGTACATATATATGTACATATATATGTACATACATAATTATTCAGTAAACATTGTATATATAATATATGTACATATGTGTACATAACATATATATATATACATGTACAGTATATATATATGTATTATGTATGTATGTATGTATGTATAGTGGGGCAAAAACGTATTTAGTCAGCCAAGAACCCAGAAAAATCACATATTTACCAATTAATTCATAAAAAATCCTACAATGTGATTTTTTTTTCTGTCTCTCATCGTTGAACTGTACCTATGAAGAAAATGACAGGCCTCTCTCATCTTTTTAAGTGGGAGAACTTGCACAATTGGTGGCTAACTAAATACTTTTTTGCCCCACTGTGTGTCTTTGTATATATATATATATATATAGTACATATAAATATATATAGTCAGTGCTCTTGTGCTGAGCAGAGCACATCTGTGTGACTTCAAAAGCTGCGAAACATTTTTTGGACTGTGTGATTCATTATCAAAAAAAAAAAATGCATCAATAAAAGAAGAGAGATTTAATACGAACAATAATGGCAGTACGATAACTGTCAGTAAATACGACTTCCAAAACATGAGCTCATCCGCCGGTAATAATAATAATGTATTTGCCCCTGACTTAATTGCATTGTTTTGCCTCATTGTACCAGTATACAAGTTGCAGAGTTGTTAAATGACTCAGCAAATCAAAGAGCTAATGGGAAAAGGGAAATGGGAATGTAGATTGGGAAGAAAAAAAAAAGAGAGGAAATTTTCTTTGTTGATGCTTGAGTGAAATCTGTATTATCATCAGTTCATTTTTTTCTTTATTATGTTGACTTGAATTTAAACACGTATAATTAGATAATGTAGAACACACCGTTTACTGTGGACTGAAAACAGAATTGACTGTTATTTAGTGATTGTAAAGGTGATGTTAATGATATTTTTTTATTAACAGTTAGGAGCATCATAATCTTATATATTGTATTTCTAATTTCTAATATATGTTATATTGAATTACTAACAAATATTATATATTGTATTTCTAATTTCTAATTTTTAATATATATGTTATATTGAATTACTAACACATTTTAAATCTGTATTGTATTCTTTAAATCTTCACATTTTCTGTGAAAAAATGTATGTCATATTTTTTCATATATTTAGTGACTATTCCTTTTTTTTGGACTATTTTGTTTAATTTTAACATTAAAAACTGAGAAGTCAGATGGGAGCACTCGCGTGGACACCAGGCGTGCATGTGTGTGTATAAACTGATTTTTTTTTTTTTGTTTTCACATTGTGTAGCGGTGCGAACATTATCAAGGCATTACTGAACATCTAGCTGTGAGAATGTTCTCGCAGCTAAACAGCAGCGTGACAGGAAGTGTTACCTCTGCGGCGTTATAAAAACACAGAGGCAGATGCTTTAAACGGGAGAGATGAAAAAAATAAAAAAGTTCGCCCCGTTTAGTTTTTAAACAGTTCCACCAGAACTCAAGACAAATGTCCCACAACTGTCCCTGATTGTTGTTGTCTTTTCGTCCCTGTTTGTCTGCAGCACCGTGACATCCGCGGTGTTCACGGTAGGAGACAACGTGGTGTCAGGGAGTGACGACCGCACGGTCAAGGTGTGGGATCTGAAAAACATGAGGTCTCCCATAGCGACCATCCGCACGGACTCAGCTGTGAACAGGTGGGTGAGGTGACGCTGGCTCGTCTTGTAGTTCCATGTAGGATTTGTTGTTCTGGTGCCAGCAGCTGTTGTGACGATGCATGTTCGGCCCAGGAGCACAAACACAACTGTGACAAGAGATGAGTTTTAATAAGATACAGCTTCTTCGCGGAAAGATTGTCTGGATAAGTGTTTGACAAGTTTGAAATTCTTTTTAAAATGTATTTAATTTGAGAATTTGCGTGCAAAGGTATCTGTCCTGATACCTTAAAATTCTAGCCCTCTGACAAATATATGAGCCTTAATTTATAAAGTTTTGTTAGTGTACCAACAGTTGAAAGCAATGTTGGAAATGTTGCTTTTAAAAAGTAATAAGTTACTTCAAGTTACTAACTGAATTACAGTGTTCCCGTCTCTATATTGCTGGTCTTCTGTCACTCCCTCAGTACATCGCAGAATTTATATTCCAATCCCACGGGAGTTTCGCTATATCGCTGTATTTTATGCTAAATCATTTTTTTTGAAATTTCCAATATTTTCATTAATTTCGTGAAACATTTTCTAACCTAAAAAAAAAACTCAGTAAAAATATAGCAAAAAATAAACTAACAGACATCGCTGGTAGCTTTGTTTACCTAGAGATTGAACGCAGCATTGAGTGTGCTCTTCTGTTCCTCGTGCTGATTGGCTCATGCATTCAAACAAAAGCATTGCCTTAAAATGCATAGTAATGACCTTTTTTATAGTTAAAATTCCACAACAGCAACCATTTCTAACAGTAATATATTATCCTAACAATATTCTGAAAAGGGTTTGGTGGAATTAGCTGTTGATTCGTGTGGGGAGAGATTGTTAACTGATGGTGAAGTAAAACACTTTAACATTTTCTGCTCCGGTCACCGAGGCAACAGAGAAATAATGGGATCTAACTGATGGAAAATCGATCTGTCATTTTAGGATCAGCGTCTCTGCTAACCAGAGGATCATCGCTCTGCCACATGACAATCGACAGGTCCGACTGTTCGACATGAGCGGAGTGAGGTTGGCCCGACTGCCGCGCAGCAACAGAATGGTAAGTCACTCGTCCAGTTGTCCTCGATGTGACTGTTTTTGGCTCTTATTGCACTTTAGCGAGATGTCTGTCGAGGCATAATTTAAAAAAAAAAAGAATGATGGCATGAAGTTTTTGTTAAGCTCTTTTTTTATGACGAAAAAAAAGTCACGTCACGATGGCGGTATTTAAGTTAGATAAGCAGTGATAGCGGTAGATTGGAGTAGATGCTGGCTCAGCAGCGCCCCGCTCACCTGCTGGCTGGTGAGTAATAAGACAGCTGCTGTCACAGTTGGAAGTTAAAAGGTTTGCAACCCCTGGACTGTCTGATTAGCAGCAATAACACCGACACGTCTGTGTGCTCACGCAGGGTCACAGGCGCATGGTGTGTTGCACAGCGTGGAACGAGGAGAACCAGTCGTGCAACCTGTTCACCTGCGGCTTTGACCGACAGGCCATCGGCTGGAACATCAACATCCCTGCGCTGCTGCAGGAGAAGTGAAGTCCCCGAGTCACGCTCTCTCTCACACACACACACACACACGCACTCGCATATACACACACACACACACTGATGAGTATCTCCCCACCTGTATATACAGTATACCACCAATACACACTGTAATCTGTGGACCTGGTTCACGCTCGTATGGCTAAAGTGTTTACCCTGTATAATGTGTTTGCTGTGACGGCTTTTACGGCTTCTCAGCAACGTGCGCTGTTGTACACTGTTTGTCACAGCCGGTACGGTTGTTCTATTTCGGAAGGCCGCGGCCTTCAGCTTTGCCGGCACGTTGACGACAACCGTAACAGTCAGAGCGTTCGACCCTAGGCCGTCGCCGCCGAGTTCAAGTTTGACTCCGCCCGAAGTC